GCAGCTGTCAATGCCAAGCCACCAACGCGCCACCCTCGAGTTGACATTATTCCCAGCACCGATTTGTGATTGCTGATTCCCAAATGCTCCTGCCTGCCTGCAGACGCAGACGCAGATGCGATGTCCTTTGGGTTTCCTTGGCCGCATTGTTGTTGGCCGTTCACCCGCCCGCCCGGTGCAATGATTTTTTCCTTGACGGCTCCTTGACTGCTTTATGTTTGTGTGGGTTTTTTTTTCTGCGGACTCTGTCCAAAGGCAGGACGCTCTTCCTGGTTCTAAAATCCTGCCAAAAGGTGTTGGAAATCCTGTTAATAGGGGAGATTCTTCGGCCTGACCTCGCATAACTTGGTGTGTGGCTAAAGAGAGAGGCGGAGATATGTGCAATATATCAAGGATTAAAGGGGATATCAGAGTGACTTCCTAGAGGAAATGCTTTTTAAGGCACAAATTTTCTAAATTAAGACAAAAAAAAAATATAACATTTGCTATTTTCATAGATTAAAAAAATTAATATATCATCAATTTATTTTACCTTCATTTTTTTAGTATACCAGGAAAACACTTTGATAATGGTAAAGATATCAAATTATATTTCGAGATTAAAGTAGCTTTTAAATAATGTTTAAGCACTATCTCTTAAATTACAACTTTAAAATGGTTTCCTTTATGTTGGAAGCATTTCCTAGCGGAAACCATTATCCTTAACAAATAAAAACTTACAACCCCTGCTAACCATTTCCATGCACAAAAAACCTCTCCCTTTTTTTATGTAGTCCATAATCACCGCAACAGAATTAAATAATATTTACACACTTCGTTTGGGAGACACGTGTAATAGGCTAAACAGAGTGTTTAGTGTGGCCAACAAGCAGGACACACGCGATGTCCCCTAATCAGCTTAGTCCTAGCAGGATAATGGAGAGTTGGGGGCAAGGATGATGACAGGACAGGACTGTGCAGGACTCGTAGTGCCGGCACTGCATTGACAGGATAACGAACCGTGAATAGGCGCGAAACCTGCAAAGGACCTTAAAAAAAAGAAATATCCAAGGGGGAATCAAGAACTGGAAGTCAAGGCAGCTGCCACAAGTGCAAAGCGGGCGACAATAGAGCCAAGTTTTGGGGTCTGTCTGGATTTTCAGACCCATCGGGGTCGCAGTCGGGGTCGGGGGTCATTCACAATTCGGGGCGAACAATGGGCCACAGGTAGCGATGGAACCCGCACATAATCGCCAATCGACAGATACGGCCAGGTGATCCAACTTTTTGATTTCTTCTGGCTAAAGGACATTGATACGCCGGCTTCGTCGCTGGATTCCGGGAAGCAATTCCTTTCGCTGGCTTTTCAAAACATTTACTCCACTGTTCGGCCATTGTGTCGCGAACCTATTGATTGTGCAATGCACACACAGCACACACACAACACACACAGCCCGTGGCAGTGATTTTCCCTGCTTCTCCGATCTTCGATTTATGGATCGCAGCTCCTTTGTTTCGTGCCAAAAAAGAGAAAAAACGGAGAGGAGAATCAGAAACAACAACAACGGGAGCTGCAGTCGTCCTGACCTGGGGAAAAGTATAGTAATCAACAATTCATTGTCAACGAGATCACACATCGTATATCTTGGGCCATAGTTTGTTTTCCTTGGTGGTATCCTAAATGTTCGTTCCTTTCTTTTACCTTCTCTATTTTTTTTTTTTGCAAAGGTGCACCGGGCCAGGTGAGCCATAGATACTGTTAGGTTATGATGGAACTATTGGACCGTGAAAAGAGTGGGGGTTGAGTTAGGAAAACTAGGACTTGAAAGCTGGAAAAACAGTTACGGGATCCTTAGGCGAGATGTTAACTGAGAGATGTAAGATTGGAACACAAAAAACATAAAAAAATATATTAACATTTCCATTAAAACATCTTCACCAGATTTCCTAACATAATATTTTCAATACATATTTTCTATATACAACAATGATTTAAAGTATTGATTAAATGTAATTTAACTTAATATTAACTGTTTCAAAAAGCGGGCCACTCTTTTTATTTTTTTAAGAAAAGTTTTTTTATTTTAAAGAATTTAACATAAACCTAAAATTAATTGTTAAAAAAAATTGACAAGTCTTAATTTTTTAACAAAAGTTTTATTATGACAAAGAATTTAACATGAATATTTTTAGAAATGCCTTAACCAAATAGAAGTGAAGAAATAGATGGATAGCAAAAATACATTATTAAAACTGTAATAATTAAGTTAGCTATAATTTCTAGTGTTCTATAATTTAAGAAAATTTAAGCCATTTCCCAAATTTTCTTTTACATTTTATTTTCTCCATCATTCCTCCACATTCTCTTTTGCCATTTTTCCCCTCCCCGTCGACCCAATTCTTTTCGCAGTGCGATTTACAATACCGCTTGGCTCCTCTTCGAACAATGCCAACTGAACTCTGTCGATCCTTGTGTTCCCTCTTCATTGTCAGCTACAACAAATGAGCCAGGACAAGGTGCAAAAATGGGACGGGCCCATTGTCGGGCAAAAATCGACAGAAGATAACCAGGCCCAGGGAAAATCGAAAAGCAGCTGAGCACCTGCAGAAATCCCGAGCGAATCGGGGAAGTGGAAAAGTAGAGTCCGCGAAAGGGTTTTCCCCACAAATACTGAGTTAATGAATGAAGTCGAAAATACTTGCCGCACAAGCATCTACCTAATGCTAATGAGCGGGCCAACCCGGCCAGGGATTTTTGGCAAGTCAGGTACTTTGGGCACAATGCGCGAACGACAAGTGCGGATTTTCCCGCGGAATGAATGAGGACCGACGGGTTATTCGCGATGTCCTGCGGGCAATTCCGCGGCCCGCGATTTCGGCACGGTGATCATTAGGTAGTGCCTGGATGCCTGGATGTGCCATGGCGGAATAACACACACGTAATAACCGAGGTGTCCGGGATGACCCACCAGGTAGGATGGATATATAGAAAACCCCCAGCCAGTTTTCCCACTCTCGTGTTTTGCTTGAGTTTCGCTGACTGCGTAATTGGATAAGCTGGGAAATTACTTTAAATCCAGCGCTGATCCACATCCGGAGAGTTGTCGAAGGGAAATCCATCGCAGGGAAGTACAAAATGGAAACGCGGCTGGGTTATTGGCTCGACATTTCCCAATTTTCCCTCACGCCATTGGTCGCAGGATCGCGGGGAATTGGAATTCCGCGTTGGAATTTTTTGTCACCTCTTGGGTTTATCAAAACTTTTGGGTTTGCTGTGGATTTTTTCCCATTTTACCATCGCGCCTGGTTTTTTTTTTTTGCTATGCGGGCTTGTCTGTTTTTCCGGACACGGAGTCTGGCTATCTGCCTATCTGCCTCCATGCGGGAGTGGAAGTGGGAGTTGGGAAAGTTTCCCGCGATCGTTGGAGGGGTGGCGAAAAAGTCTGGAGGTGCTCGGTGGGAAAGACGTGTGTGCGCAACGAGGCAGCGAGTCAAAGGTCAGGGGAGGTGGAAAGCGAGAAGGGTGGGAAATATTCATATTTTATATATATTTTATACACTATTTTGTATAATATCTTTCATTTAATAGACAATTTACTTGAGTAGTTTCGATTAATAAAAATTAAAGTTAATAGAAAAAGGAACTTATAGTATTTATTCTTTTTGATATAGAAACAATTGTTTATAAATTGTTTTGTTTGGGTGAACACTCTATTAACTTGACTTATTATTAAAATGCAGAGCTAAGGAATTACAAACTAATATTGAGACTCCTACGAACATATTCTTAAAGTTTGAATAGAAATTGGTAAGAATGTATAAATTAAATTTAAGTTTTAAGGTCAACTCAGCAAAAACGATCTAAAAATGGGTTTTGGTGAAAACAACATATAAGAAATCTTATAAAAATAAATTTTAATGTATAAGTTATATTAACGTGTTATTAAATATCTCTTCATGACTTTATAAAATAATATTATAATTAAATAATATGAATATAGTTATCTTACAAAAAAAAAATCAAATTTCTTTGCTATTTAAAAATTTCTGGAATTTGTTTAAAATAAAAATAATTAAAGTGTTTTCAGTTTAGTTCAGAAATTTCGTGGGAACATGAAAAAACCCAAGGACCAAAGGTAAGCTCATAAGAGACTGGATATGATGCGTCAGATTCTTCCTGGTTAATTAATGACAGGAGTCCATATCCCCGGAAAATCTCCATTCCAAACTCCTATCGATCGCTGCCAATGAGCCACTGGAGATGATCCATAAGTCAGCGTGGAGTGCACCCCAGAGTTGACACTTTGTGCTAGGAATTCGGCTCATTATCAGTGTTATTTTTGGAACACCTCTCTGCCAAGGTGTCAGTTTTGTCAGTCCGTGTCGCTCAGGTTCAAAACTCCATCCCACTCCCCTTCTTCCCCTAGTAAACGAAGTCCCCGTGGCAGATGTACCCGAAGCCCTCGATCTAAGTGCAGAAACCACCCCAAAAAAATACATAGTATACTAGGAGTCCAATTTGACTCGTGCTTAAAAATAGAAAATTACTTAGGGGATCGAGGGCTAGGGAAACGATAGTGTAACTTGCATTCCGAACCTGCAGGAGTTATTACGGGTGGGTTGTGCATATTGTGGATATACCGGGAAATTGGAGAGCCAGCAGAGCTGTCATAACTTATAGGGGGATCGGAATCGGAGTCGGGATGGGAATCGGGATCGGGATTCCTGGGAGGGTGCGCCTGCGCCTGCTCTTCCGAGAGAGGGAGAAAGGTAGACAAATGGAGACAGAGAGAGAGAGCAGGTAGTGAGGGAAATACGCAATAAGGGTATGGGAAAAGTACTATTGTTGTCGTTGTTGTTGTTGTGCTAGGTAGCAGCGCACACGTGTGTGTGCTGTATATTGTTGTTGTTGTCGAAGAAGAACCACCACCAAATGGCGGCAGCGACGTCAGCAGAGGCGGCGCAGAGCTCGGGGTATAAAAGAGCGTGCTCGACACTCGACCTGTCACAGCCACCTCAGCTCTCGTTGAGTACGCAACCACCGCTCTATAACTCGAACTCGAACTCGATTTTGAACATCCGATCCCTCTCGATATATATACAATACACTGATCTCGATCAGTACCGGAAATTAAAAACTTAAACGCTGACAAACTTTGAAAATGGCCGCCAACTACAAGAGCTGCCCGCTGAAGAAGCGCCCCATTGTCTTCGTGGAGGAGCGTCTGCCGCAAACGGAGGCCTTGGCTCTGACCAAGGACTCGCAGTTTGCCCAAGATGAGCCACAGGATCTGTCCCTGAAAAGGGGACGCGAAGAGGAGTCTCAGGATTACGCCGAACAGCCAGAGCCAAAACGTGACTATGTGCTGAATCTGTCGAAGACACCGGAAAGGATCTCCAACTCGTCGTGCCTGCTGTCGCCGCCGGCGGAAGCCCAGGATTACCAGCCCACCGACATCCATATGCGTGGCCTGACGGCAGCAACTACGGGTTATACCACCACCAGCACCTTGGTTAATCCCTTCCAGTCCGCCTTTGTGATGGCCGCCGGCTGCAATCCCATCTCGGCGCTGTGGAGCAGCTACCAGCCCCACTTGGCCGCCTATCCCTCGCCGGCCAGCTCGATGGCCTCACCCCAGTCGGTGTACAGCTACCACCAGCAGATGACGCCGCCCTCCAGTCCGGGATCCGACCTGGAAGCCGGCTCCGAGCCGGAGGATCTGTCCGTGCGGAACGACATTCCGCTGCCGGCTCTGTTCCACCTCTTCGACGAGGCCAAGTCGAGCAGCAGTGGAGCGAGTGTGAGCAGCTCCTCGGGATACTCCTACTCGCCGGCCATGAGTGCCTCGTCGGCCAGTGTGGCGGCCAACCATGCCAAGAACTACCGCTTCAAGTGCGACGAGTGCCAGAAGATGTACTCCACGTCGATGGGTCTGTCCAAGCACCGCCAGTTCCACTGTCCGGCCGCCGAGTGCAACCAGGAGAAGAAGACGCACTCTTGCGAGGAGTGCGGCAAGCTGTACACCACCATCGGAGCCCTGAAGATGCACATCCGCACCCACACGCTGCCCTGCAAGTGCCCCATCTGCGGCAAGGCCTTCTCGCGGCCATGGCTGCTCCAGGGCCACATCCGCACCCACACCGGCGAGAAGCCCTTCCAGTGCCCCGACTGCCCGCGATCCTTTGCCGACCGCTCCAACCTGCGGGCCCACCAGCAGACCCATGTGGACGTGAAGAAGTACGCCTGCCAGGTGTGCCACAAGTCCTTCTCGAGGATGTCGCTCCTGAACAAGCACTCCAGCTCCAACTGCACCATCACCATTGCGTAGGATTCTCAACGCGAGATGGCATTGGCAAACACTCAACACACACACACATTCCGCTGGCGAAGACCAAACAAACAGACAATAACTAAGATTAGCTTGTACTAAGTCGATTCGGTTTTGGTGCTACTATTATTATATTTATTTCAGTCGTAGTTCTCGTAGGCTAAGATCATGTATATTGCCTCATTGTCACACGCAGCATTTGACCAAATCTATTCATTTAATTATTATCCTTATTTATGTATTCTCACTACTTGTAAGCCAACTGTTGTTAAGATTATTCCTAGTTTTAAGCAAATTAATAGTTTTATAAAAATAAAACAAATCAGAAAAGAAATTTTAAAAGTCTTTATTTTTTCAACACTTTGGGAAGTCATAACAGAGAAAATATCAAAAAACGATCAAAAATTCAAATTAATGGCTAACAAAAAGTCTTTTAAAATTACAGTCAACATTATTATAAAGCCATTTTACTTTAATTACTATTAAAATTCAATTTAAAGCAGTTAACAAATACAAAACCAATTTCTCTGTTTAGAAATATAAATTTCTATTCCATTAATTAACAGGAAACCAAACATCCGCATTTTGGGGACCTTTCCCTGCTCATATTTTGTGACAATTTCCGCCAACCCTCTCGGAAAACAGGAATCACAACAATAGCAATATCGAATTCTCGGAGAAAACACCTTTGGCATGTGCAAACAGGGAACCGATTTGTCATACACTTTCCATTTCGGGGACTTCCTTTTAACCCGCCCCCAATAATATCAATTCATATCAGTCCCCGATTTGCACCTTTTGCCAATGCAAATATTTAATTAGCTGGTACTGCCGACACCGCTCCACGTTTTTCTTTACGCACAATCCTTTGCCAGTATATTTGCCGAGCGGATCTCGGCGCATGCGTCCCGAGTCCCAAAGGACACCAAAGAACTAGGGATACTAAAGGACTAAGGACTTGCGGAGTGCAGGTGATAAACGTAGCGACGGCTGCTTATCGAGTCCTGATTGACATGGCAGACGGTAGTTCAGGTCCTGATTGGATTGGATTACCATTGAAGCATGCTCTGAACCGAGAACCCAACGAGGCTTATCTGAATATTTGATTAGAGCCGTGTGGTGATAAGACTCCAGGTCGGACAGGTATGAAATATAAGTCCCAGATATGGCTGGAGTCCTCAGCTCAGGCACGTATTCAAAATTCACTTATAACGATAAGATTATTTGGACTTTGAAAGCTTGAAAGGAAGTAAAATTTGTAGATTTATTTTAAATTTATAATTAAAATTTCTATCTATTTTTAAAACCTTCTGTGTGGATAATTTTTAAATTTGTATTATTTATTTATTAGTTTTTTTTTTTTAATTTGTTGGCACACAATAAATATTGTCTTACTTTATGACAATTATTAACTGACTGCAGACCAGCAATAATCGAATGTGGGTGTATCGGAATGGGACAAACCATTAGCGACATTTTGCTGCAGCAGCAACACCTTTTGGCCATAAATAAGGCAGCCCACAAAACGTATTCCCAGAAGGAATACAGAGCAGACAAAGGCCAATCATTCCAGTTCCTCGGTAATCAGAGCGCGTCTCTTGTGCAATTGCAAAAAACTGCAGTACAGATGCAACTAAGCACAATGCATCTCGAGGCTGGGGAAACACCTTGCGGGGAAGACAATGCCGGAGATCGAGTCCAAGGATCGCTGTACCTGTCGCCCGATTGTCTGCCCAAGATCTGCTCACCCAGTGACCTACTGGGCCGACCGACTTCTGTGATGTCTTCCGCCCTTTGTTGCGGCGGCATCCTTTTTTCGCCATTGTCCTGCGGCTAATCGCTTGAGCAGTGGGAAGCCAAGGAAAATCACAGACCACAAAAGTCAGCCGCTCATTGCGCTCGGATGAATGCAAATCCCGCGCCGGGAATCGATCCGATCCCAGCCTGAGCCACCTGAGATCGGAGACTTACTCCCCATTAGTCCGGCAACGCGATAACAAATTGCAATTGACAAAGCAAACGAGATGCGATCGATGGAAGCCTCGAATGGGATGCGATTCCGATTTCGATTCCGCGGCCCATTCCATGCCATACAAATCGATGCCGGGCCGAGATACAAGCTGCGGCATTTGTAATTGCCAAGCAAACCGAGGGGCAGATGGGGAGCAGGAGGAGCCAAAGGAGTCTGTGGAGCAGGAGGAGCAGGCCAGGCAATCAGCGAGCGGCGCATGTCACAGAGCGCACACAAAAACTAGAAAAGGATAGTTGTGTTGTCAAAGCCGATAAACTAGTACCCTTACCGAGCTGTTCCCTTTTTTAGTAAAATACTTTCCTTGAAACAAAATTTAGTTTTGGCTTAAATTAAACTATGATTATTAAATAATATTTAAGTTAAGACCTAAATCAACATAAGGAATAAAATCACATATAAAATATTATCCTTTTCCTTTCTTATGAAATTTTAATAATTCAATATGTAAATAATGTAAATAGGAACATATATACATGTTAGTAGTCGGGTTAATTTTGGGAATTTTATATAGATTTTCATTCATTGCTTTCTTTCCACATAATACTCTTTAAGCTTAGTGTTTCAAGAACATTTTTTCAATTATAAATGTAAATTATTCTAACTCTTTCAGATCTTTCTTTTTGAATCAAGTCTTAGCTAGGGCCATTAATAAAATTTGTAATATTTTTAGATCCTTGGTCATCCGGAAAGAGCAGATTCTTATGGACAAAAATAAATGTGTATTATTATTTACCTTTGAATATTACAAATTACTTCCTAAAATCGCAATACCCACAGCAAGGGTATTCAATAAAAAAAGAAATGCCAGAGAGGAGGCAAGACAAAAAGCTCATGCAAAACAAACATTAGGAAATCCAATCCGAGCTCAGGCATCCAGCATCCAACATTCAGCAGCCAGCAGCCACTTAGGCAGTCACTCAGTGGAAAAGCCAACAGTCGAGGAGTGGAGGAGTCGAGGAGTCGCCAAGTCGAGGAGTATAGTGCAGGAATCGTGGACCAAGTCGTCGTTTAGGACGTCTGAGATTACGAGCGATTACGTTTTACTCCAAATTTGTATGCTGCCAGAGTTGTAATTGAAAAAGCATCAACATTAATCTTGGTACTCGCACACACATCGCCAGCCAGCTAGCCAGCCAGCTAGCGATTTTCGATTTCGATTGGGAATCGGATTTCGTAAGCGGCCGGGAGATGCCAGATAAGCGGGTGTAAGTGTGGGTAAGTCTGATCCGAAAAAACTACATATTGCTTAATCTCTGCGCTGATGTGGAGCAGCAGATATGATCGGCAGATCTGCAGTCCCAGTTTAACTCCCCGCCTCCGAAAGTCCACAAACTCCAGCTCCGACAAGTGAGCGATGTGCGATCGCATGGCATAAATCAAATCCCGGAGAGAAATTGCGCCGCCGGCTGACAGCTCAGCCACGACAACTGTCCATCGCATCGCATCGCATCGCTTCGCATCGCATTGGATCGCATTGGATCCATCCACAAATCCAGTCATTCAGCCATCCAGCGGAGCTCAACTTTATGCTTTATGCCAGGCCACATGCAAATGATCGTGCCCAGCATTCGACACCGGCCTGCGGACCGCGGATGGCAACCTGTCAGCGATCAGCGACCTTAACTGTAAAGCCAGTCGCAGACCGCATAGGTTCTATTCCCCACACTCAAAAAAGTGGGGCTTTTATTACAAAACCTTTAAGTTACTCAGAACAAAGCTTAAACTTTAAAAGGGCTTAAGGATGTTTCATTGATCTGTTATAAATTCATATAGAACTACGTTGATTTAATGATTGCACTCTATAATATTATTTTCAGAGTAATTTAACAATTATTTTACAATTTTAGATTAAAAAGCTAAATATTTATTTTAAACAAAACTTTAAATGGTTCATATTTACGTAAAAAATTATAAGCCTATATATAAAAATATAAATATTTTAATGGAATTATTTATTACTTAAAAATAATATAAAATAAATCATATGATCATATGATTTTCTAAATATAAATATGGCAAATTCATCGCTCAATCATCATTCAATTCAAGAAATTTAGTTTAAAATTAAGGATTTTAGCATGCTGAACTAATCTAATAGTTAAAAACTTGTTCTGCTTTGTCTTTTCCCTCAAAAACATTTATTTTTAATTTTTAAATTTTTTTTTTTGGTTTTAGTAGCCTATAAAGCACTCTTCTCTTCTGTTATTACTATGTATTTTTTCGCAGTGCATTCTTGAGTTACATGACCGGCGAAACCTGGCGTTAGTAGTCGCTAAGTGCAGTCAAGAGACTGCGGACTCAAGACTCCTGTGGCCATCAACTTGATGATGAGACAGGCAGATCGCTCAGCTTCCCCCAGCACCTCCTAGATCGCCGGATCCAAAGCACCTCCCATAACCCAGGCACCATCTCTTAACCCCCTCGTGGGCTTCGTGCCGAGCCTGGACTGCTGTAGATCGGCGAGCGTTGATAAATGTTGTTACTTGTCGTTGGATGGTTGTAGTCTTCTGAGTTGTCGACAAGCCCGATCGATGGGTGGTTATAGTTGACATGTCGCTCTGTGTTTGCTAGGCCCATCATCCCGAGATCGGGATTGGGATTGGATTCGGAATCGGGAGAGGGAAAGGTGGCCACGATCGCCGCAGGGCTGGCCCACTGATTGCCAATGCCGGTGACATGTTCGCCAAACGGTTAATTGTGGTTATGATTTGGTCTTGTCTCTGCTTAATTAGTCGCCTTATATGCCACACTAAAATTACCTTCACTTCCTGCTTGACATCTGCGATCATCTGCAATCATCTGCAATCATCTGCGGCTCATCTGCAATTTGAATTTCCCAAGAGCCACGATCCAGGTATAAATATTGCATAAAGTTCAGTCAAAGGGTAGAAAGTAGCGCTCCCCCCTTTCTCCCATTCCGGGCATATCCGATTCGTTAATTTGCAGGCAAATCGATTCGATTCGATTCCAATCCACTCCACTCCTCTCCAATCCGATCCCATCCAGAGCTCACTTCGCCCAGCGATTGCATCTACTTGACACACATCGCACGCAAATCGATGCGGTAGCATTTACAAATATACCATATATCGAGGGGGAATTGTACTCCACCCGCCCATTCCTCTCGGAAATTTACAAAAGATGCGACTCGGTGTCCAAAAATAGCCAGCTCCCTTCGCCGGCTTGATGACGATGCTCCACTATGCCTATGCCGAAAAATGATTTATGCATGCGACTTTCCTCAGCTTCATTCATCT